TTTTTTTGTTGGGGGGGGGGGTCCTTAGTATGAATATAGTAGAATGGGCCAAAACCCTGTTATAATTATTAAGGCCCCTATGTTACATATTTACCGCAAATAGAAGTGGTACTGGCCCAAACGTGTTAGACACATGATGGTGAAGTAAGTCAGTACCCAGATTGAAAGCAGATACCGAGGTGACTTGAAACACCTCTAAAGACAGCTGAAACAAGTGGGCCCGGTTCCTTAACCCTACACTCTGCCCCAGACAAACCTGTGAACCCTTTGTAGAACCCCTTACCCCAAGAGTCCATGTATCATGTACCCAAGGTAGTCCCTGTATTGGCACTTCAGGGCCAAAGTATCTACTTTTTGATAATATGAGCACAGGGACCCTTAGGGTTATGCAATCCCTAAAAATAGTCCATTGTAGAACCCATGATGGAAATCCTTACAGAAGCCCTCATAGAACCAAATACAGCGCCCATCACAGAACCTTAGCCCTCAACTCACAACCTTCAACCCTAGACCCAAATTCTGCTGTTGACCGTGGCCAAGGGCCTTCACTGCATGACTTCGCTGCTGCTCAGCTACAGGGCCGATCCTGCGGCGGTCACGCACTGTGGCAGCCTGTGGGGGCTTTCCGCGCTGTCCCTGGCCATGCAATGGGACGACGAGGAGACGCACTCCGAGCACATGGTCATCAGCCCGGGTGCAACATGGTCCCGCTGCGTTGGGCGCTCTCGGCCCTGCACCTGCCAGTGCCTTCATCTCCTATGGGAAGCAAGCGAGCGTCCACACTTACTTCCGTGTTCCGGATGTGAAGCTCCTGACGGCCTTGCTTCGGAGATGAAGGGATTTAAATCGAGAGTCAACGGTTAACAAATCAGTAGATTGGGAGGGCCTTTGTTTTGATCGCCATTCTGCCGGAGTTGCCTCCTGAACCCTAAACACGAAAAAGAACCCTAAACCCTGCATCCTAAATCCTAAACCCTGAAACCTAAACCCTAAACCCTAAACCCTAAACCCCAAGCCCTAAGCCTCAAACCCTAAACCCTAAACCCTAAACCCCACACCATAAACCTTAGAAGTCTCAGCTGCAAGGCTTGGGGGCCTAAGGGCCTTGGTTTGCAGTTCTTTTGGGTTTCGGGTCTGGCGTTGAGGACTTAGGGTTTTAGGGTGTAGGATTTAGGGTCTGTTGAGGACTTCGGGTTTTAGGGTTTAGGACTTGGGGTTTAGGGTTGAGGAATTAGGATTTAGGGTTTAAGGTTGAGGGTTCAGGATTTAGGTTGTGCCTTCAAGGACCAAGACCTACTAGTTTTGCAGGGTCCCTATAAAGTCTATATCATGTTTATGGTAGTCTAAGGTAAGGTAAACCCCAAACCCTAAACCCCAAACCCTAAACCCCAAACCGGTTTAGGGCTCAGCGTTTTAGGGTTGAGGGTCCGGGGTCGAGGAGTTGGAGTTCCTCGCTTAGGGTTTAGGGTCTAGGGTTTAGCTAGCTTTCGAGAACCGGGTTTGGGTTTAGGGTTTGGGGCTCATTGCTCAGAGTTGAGGGTTTAGGGTTTAGGGTTTAGGGTTTAGGGTTTAGGGGTTTAGGGTTTAGGGTTTAGGGCTAACTTTTGTCTCCCCCCAAGGCCGGAAGTATACAAAGAGTATCTACTTTCGGCTTTCACCTCCATGAGTAGTAGTAAGGGTGTCGAAATAATTTTGTAAGACTGCACCTTATAGCTTCGAATGCAGTATAGTGCGATGCAACCTGTAACCTTATCCCACAAAACCACTATCAACAGAAGGCCCTATAGTACCTACTTTGGGCCATTTTCTAAACCTCAGACGCCAAACCCTATTCCCTAGGCCCTAAACCCTAAAACCCTAAACCCTAAACCCATAAACCCTAAACCCTAAACCCATGAACCCGAAACCCGGCCATGTTGGAGCCTGTCTTTGCATTCAAGTTCCGTTGCCGCCAGGTGAAGGAGAGTCCACCGGAGCAAGCTATGCAGATGCTCGGCTGAAACTTCTAATAAGCACATTCTTCTATAATCCTAAACCCTAAACCCTAAACCCTAAACCGTAATCCTATAATCATAATAAGGAACCCCTAGAATAGTATCGGTAATGCTTATAAGGCTCCTATATTACCGGCACCCTAAGAACCCGGCCTCTTTAGGGTTCCTTATCGTGACTTCGTTCTGTAATGCCCTTAAAACGGTCGGTTATCTGGGGTTTAGCTTTGGGTTTGGGTTTGGGTTTGGGGTCTATAGGGTGTAGGGTTCAGGGTTTTGGGCTTTGGGTTTAGGGGTTAGGGGAGGGTGGGAGGGCGATGTAATAGGGTTTAGGGTTTAGGGCTTAGTTTAGGGTTTGCCTTTGCACCTGCCTGCCTGCCTCCCTGCGTGGCTGCCTGCCTATCTGCCTTTCTGTGTGTCTGTCTGGCTTCATTTGAGTCGATCTACTCGAACTATCTATCCCTACAGATCCGTAAATTTCTAGACCTATCTCAGGTATGCACCCGTCTGTTTTCCCTGTGCCTCTAGCTCCTGAGGTTAGCATGTTGTTGTTGAGGGTTTTTTGTTTTTGGGGTTCATGGTTCAGGGTGGGCTCTTACTGTAGCTTTGCGGTTTTGAGATGTAAAGATCTGGTGTAGGGTTTAGGGTTTAAGGTTTAGGGGTGTAGTTGCGGGCATGCCGGAACTCCACCATACTGGTCCCCCGAGGGACATCGGAGCAAGACAGAGAAGTGACAAGACAACCCTGTGTTTTGCCTACCATCCAGGAAATTCAAAGCAATCTTATAACTAGCGCTAAGCCATGAAGCCATAAATACTGAGAGCCACAAGCGGATGTAGAACCTAACCTGTAAACCCAGCAACATTTAGGTTAGGGTTTCAGGCTGTAATTACAACAACAGCGACAACAACAACAACAGCGACAACAACAACAACAACAACAACAACAACAACAACATCAACAACAACAACAACAACAACAACAGCGACAACACGAACACCAACACCAACACCAACACCACCAACAACAACAACAACAACCACAACCACAACCACAACCACAACCACAACCACAACCACAACCACAACCACAACCACAACCACAACAACCACTACAACTACAACTACAACTGTAATAACAACAACAACAACCACGACAACAACAACAACACGAACAGCACCAGCACCAGCACCAACACCAACACCGCCACCACCACCACCACCACCACCAACAACAACAACAACCACAATCACAATCACAACAACAATCACAACAAAAACAACAAAACAATGATATTATTATTAATAATAATAATCATGATAATAATAATAGTAGTATTAATAATAATCATATAAAAATACTAGTAAGACTAACAATTAAGATAGTAACACCACCAACAACAACAGCAACAACAACAACAACAGCAACAACAACAACAACAACAACAACAACAGCAACAACAACAACAACAGCAGCAACAACAACAACACCAGCAACAACAACAACAGCAGCAGCAGCAACAACAACAACAGCAGCAGCAACAACAACAGCACCAACACCAACA